CATGGATAGGCTTACATACATGAATTTCCTGATATATCCAAAACTGCATTCTTGATTCCCCCATGAAGGAAATAAAATATGCAAATAGCACCAATAATGAAAACTCTGAGTCTTGTCTTTTCTGCTTCAGTAAAATTGTCATTCCATTCTTCTAGATGCTCATCCAATTAGTCAAGAAATTCTTTTTTTAAATTTGAGACAGAGCCTTACTCTGTTACTCAGGCGGGAGTGCAGTGGCATGATCTTGGCTCACTGCAACCTTTGTCTCCCAGATTCAAGTGATTCTCTTGCCTCAGACTCCCGAGTTGCTGGGATTACAGTCACATGCCACCATACCTGGTTAATTTTTGTATTTTTAGTGGAGACAGGGTTTTGCCATGTTGGCCAGACTGGTCTCTTAACTCCTCACCTCAGGTGATCCACCCACCGCGGCCTCCCAGAATGCTGGGATTACAGGCGTGAGCCATCCTGCCTGGCCAGGAAATTCTTTTAGCTTCTCTTTTGAACTATATCTTGAGTCCAGTTACTTCTCATTACTTGAGCTGTTACTTCCCTGGGTCACGTCACTGCCAGCTCTTATCTGGTCTATTGTGCTAGGTGATCTCCTTGCTTTCACTCTTGCCCATCTATAGCCTCTTCTCCATTTGGCAATTATAACAGTCCTTTAAAAAAAGAAGTCAGATCATGTTGTTCCTGCTTCTAGGCTTCTTGTTTTACTAAATAAAGCTAAACAAAATACCATAGACCTAAAGGTCTTAATGTGATCTTGGCCGTGGCTAGCTCTTTGTTTTCTATTATTCTCCCTCTTGCTCCCTGTGTTCCAAATATATTAGTCTGTTTGTTGTTCTTCAAACACACCAGCCATCTTTCCACATATAAGCTTTTGTACTTGCTGTAATTCTCTATTCTTGTGTGCTATTTCACTGGATATCCACATGGTTCATTTTCTCATCTCTTTTAAGCTTTTGCTCAAATGTCACCTTATTAATGAGACTTTGTCAGTTCACTTTACATAAAATATAAAATAGCACTTGCCTCACCTGTCATATTCTGTTCCCTCGTCCTGCTTCGTTTTCCTCTAGAGCCTTATTACCTGATATATAATATATATTTATTTGTTTGTCTTCCTCAGTAGACTGTAAACCCCGTGAGGGAAGGGTTTTTTTTTTTTTCTTTTGGTGGTAGTGGTTGTTCATTGCCATTTTCTCAGCACCTAGAACAGTACCTGGCATATAGTAGATCCTTAATAAACATTCATCAAATGAATGAATCTTAAGTGCTCATTTTGAAAAGAATACTTTTTATAAAAAGGTATCCACAAGATGGCATTATTTTCAAACTTTATTTAATTAATGTTGGGAGCAAATGATAGGTTCTTTTCTGTTTTTTTTGCCTTAAACAAAAAAGATATTTGTGACGAAGATTGTCTCGAGAAGTTAGTAGGGTGAATATGGGGCATGTTGAATACTGCATTTATATTTGGTTTTTGATTTATATGTTTTCAGATATTTATTATAAAATAAAAAACATCTGGAGAAACTTATAGAAAATTATAGCATATTGGCTGGGCATGGTGGCTCACACCTGTAATCCCAGCACTTTGGGAGGCCGAGGTGGTCGAATCATGAGTTCTGGAGATTGAGATGATCCTGACCAACATGGTGAAACCCTGACTCTACTAAAATACAAAAATTAGCTGGGCATGGTGGCACGCACCTATGGCCCCAGCTACTGGTGGCAGGTACCTGTAATCCCAGCTACTCAGGAGGCTGGGGCAGAGAATTGCTTGAACCTGGGAGGTGGAGATTGCAGTGAGCCAAGATCATGCCACTGCACTCCAGCCTGGGCGACAGAGTGAGACTCAGTCTTAAAAAAAAATTACAGCATATTGGCGTGTAAATAACCATTTAATACAGTTATTTGCATGGTAACTGTGAATAAAGGTTGTTCATGTCTATCCATTGACCACCATTCCTTCTGAGAGGCCTTCAGCAATGAGAAGGCAGCAATAAGTTCCAGAGCCTTTCACTACTCAAGCCACTGGTGGAAATCCAGCCTAGTGCTAGAGGGCAGAAAATTGTCAGCTGTTCAATACTTGTTGCTCATAAGTTAGATACTCTCAATCTTGTTCCTCATCAACTGGGCATTCAAAGTTTGAAAAACTTCCATGTTTCTAGAAGATGTTGCCAGACCTATCTTGTTAAAAACTGATAGGTTCTAAATGCCAGCGATTTTTTAGCTACTTCTCTAACTAGCACTAAACTCAGCAAAGAGTTTCCCTAATCAGAAAATTTACGCTTTTCCCCCAAACCCTCAGGATTTGGCTCCTCTGTCTGTGTCAATGCCATCGAATTTCATGATTTCCTCACTTACCTCATTTCCTTCTTCCGTTTCAATCCCTGTGCCTCTCTTAAGCTCGGTTATTTGATCCATTTCATTCTCACTCTTCACACCTCTTTTGGTACTATTCCTTCCTCATGAAGTATTTTTTCGTCTTCCTGTTTAACTTAACTATGTTTATTTTTCTTTTCAAATTGTTCAAAAACATACTTTTAAAAAGTTGTTGAAGTTCTCTCTTCTCTTTTCCTGTTTTAGGGTTTTCTCTTTTATTTTTGATCGTAGCAAATGTAAGGACTTACTTTATTTATCTTTTTAAAGTTCTCAGCAGAGACCCAGGACTCTTAACTATTTAGAAATGAAAACACTGCTCTTTTGTATTTTTGAGTCTCTAAATGGAACATAAAATATAGGATGGTTTTCAGTTTTACAGCCTCCCCCCCCAGTTCCCCTGGGATGGCTAAGTAAGTACTAGGGCTGATAAAATGACATTTTATTTAAAATCAAATGCAATGTTTAAACTCAAAACATTTAAAATGGGCCAGGCGTGGTGGCTCATGCCTGTAATCCCAGCAGTTTGGGAGGCCGAGACGGGCAAATCAGGAGGTCAAGAGATCAAGACCATTCTGGCCAACATGGTGAAACCCTGTCACTACTAAAAATACAAAAAATTAGCTGGGCATGGTGGTGTGTGCCTGTAGTCCCAGCTACTTGGGAGGCTGAGGTAGGAGAATCACTTGAATCTGGGAGGCAGAAATTGCAGTGAGCCGAGATTGTGCCCCTGCACTCCAGTCTGGTGACAGAGTGAGACTCTGAAAAAAAACAAAATAAAACAAAAAAACACATTTAAAATGTAATGAGTTGGTTAAACTCAAAGACTTGTACTTTTAACATTTTTAACCATAAATATGAGAAATTTCTAGTAATGCTTTCTATATCTTATAATATGAATGATGGTGTTTTAACTTGTCACTCTCTTGTGTTTGGCATACTGCATATATTAAACTGGCTTTGACAAAATAGACAAATGGGATCTAATTAAGAGCTTCTGCACAGCAAAAGAAACTATCATTAGATTGAACTGGCAACCAACAGGATGGGAAAAAATTTTTACAATCTACCCATCTGACCAAGGGCTAATATACAGAATCTGCAGAGAATTTAAACAAATTTACAAGAAAAAAACAAACGACCCCATCAAAAAGGGGGCAAAGGATATGAACAGACACTTCTCAAAAGAAGACATTTATGCAGCCAACAAACATACGAAAAAAAGCTCATCAACACTGGTCATTAGAGAAATGCAATTCAGAACCACGTTGTGATACCACCTCAGGCCAGTTAGAATGGTGATCATTAAAAAATCAGGAGACAACAGATGGGTAGTGAGGATGTGGAGAAATAGGAATACTTTTACATTGTTGGTGGGAGTGTAAATTAGTTCAGCCACTGTGGAAGACAGTGTGGCGATTCCTCAAGGATCTAGAAATAGAAATACCATTTGACTCAGCAATCCCATTACTGGGTATATACCCAAAGGATTATAAATCATTCTATTATAAAGACATATACACATGTATGTTTATTGCAGCACTGTTTACAATAGCAAAGACTTGGAACCAACCCAAATGCCCATCAATAGTAGACTGGATAAAGAAAATGTGACACATATACACCATGGAATACTATGCAGCCATAGAAAAGGATGAGTTCATGTTCTTTTCAGGGACATGAATGAAGCTAGAAACCATCATTCTCAGCAAGCTGACACAACAGAAAACCAAACACCACATGTTCTCACTCATAAGTGGGTGTTGAACAATGAGAACACATGGACACAGGGAGGGGAACATCAGACACCAGGGCCTGGGGGGTGGGGGACTAGGGGAGGAATAGCCGGGGGCGGGGGATTGGGGAGGGATAGAATTAGGAGAAATACCTAATGTAGATGACGGGGCGATGGATGCAGCAAACCACCACCATGGCACATGTATACCTATGTAACAAACTGGCACGATCTGCACAGGTACCCCACAAATTAGAGTAAAAACAAACAAACAAAAAACTGGCTTTGAGGCTAAAATTCAGTGTTTAGAAAATCATTTTTTGTTTGACTAAGAAATTATTGGATAACATTAATTTGTTTGGGCCATAATTTTCTGTTTACCAGGAAATTAATGCATGGCATTAATTTGCATGAGTTGTTTCATTTGAGAAAGTGTATTTTTCTCGACTGAGGCATGAAGACTTACTAATACCTGGTTATTAGAATATAATATATCATATTTGTTCAAATATACTTATTTTATTCAAGAAAATGAAAGCATTCTTATTTAGTATACATATCTTATAGCTGCACCTCTAAATATCATTTACAAAAACCATATTTAATCCCAGAAAGATAAACCTCAGAGATTGTTGTTTGCTCAAGGTTAGATGAGATCCAAAAGCCCTTGCTGGTTTCATGCTCTGACTGCTAACCTCTGTTAGTGCTTACAAAAGTGAGCTTACATTCTAAACCTGTATATTAAGCCATTTTGCGTATACCTGCTCTATTGATAAGGCTTATAAGTTTCTCAAATAAAATAAATTAGAGATTCAGCAATGTGGCTTTAAATAGAATTGGTTATTTTTGTTTGTGATTTTTTTTTTTTCACCCACAGACTGGTTGAGATAGCAGAATCCCGTTTTCCCAGATATTTTAACACTGAAGAAAAATTACTTTTGACAAGTAGTAAAGTTCATCTTTATCGGGAGCTCACCTGTGATGAAGTTCTACAAAGGTATGCTGCTTTAGATTTTGATTTTTTAGCAATGCCTTGAAGGTTTATGTTTTATCTTTTATGTTTTCAGCTTCTGAGTGAGAAAATTCTTTACAGGTTAGAATTATTAGAATAACTTTTTCAGTGTTTTTCTTTGTTATAGCCTTTTGGTTGAAGTCCTTCTTTAAAAATGAAAAAATTAAATGAATAAAATATTTTAGATTTAATTATTTAAGTGGTATATTACTTATCTATTGTATGATTAACAAATTGTCTCACAGTTTAGTAGCTTAAAACAGCAAATATATATTATTTCACATAGTTTCTGAGGGTTAAATGTCTGGGAGTGGCTTAGCTGGGTGTTTCTCACTCACTGTTGCTCAAGAGGTATACACAAGCTGGTAGCCAGGGCTGCAGTTAACTCAAGGCTTGACTGGAGCTGGAGTATCTGCTTCCAAGCTCCCTAATGTAGTTGTTGGAAGGTCTCTGTTTCTTGCTGGCAGTGGGCAAGAGGTCTTTGTTCCTTACCATCTGGGCCTCTTCACAAATCACAACATGGCAACTTGCTTCCCCTAGAATAAGTGACCGGAGAGACTGGGCAAGTGAAGTAGTACCCAAGATGGAAGCTGTAGTCTTTTATAACCTATACTCAGAAATAAAGTACTATCACTTTGTCATATGCTTGTGGTCATACAAATCAAGTCTGGTATACTGTAGGAGGGGCCTACACAAGGATGTGAAATACCAAGAGGAGGGAGTAAGTATGGGCCATTTTGCAGACTGGCTGCCACAAGTAGTTTTACCCCAGACTTGGAGCGTTAGCATTATCTTAGGAGAACCAAGGAATTCTGAAACTACACAGAAACAGTTTCCTCTGTTCCCAGAAAAGCATGATATGTCTAGAAGAGCTGAAAATAAGTTAGGTTTACTGAATTCTTGCAAACCATTACTGTAACTTAGGGAAGAATAGTTTGTTATTGTTTTTAAGTTACTTAGCCATTGCAACACCCTTATTTATTTATTATACCTTAAATTTATTGACCATTTTATAAATTCTTCTTTTATAGGATTGAATCTTTGGAAGAAGAAATTATCTCAAAAGGAATTAAACTTGTGATTATTGACTCTGTTGCTTCTGTGGTTAGAAAGGAATTTGATACACAACTTCCAGGCAATCTCAAAGAAAGAAACAAATTCTTGGCAAGAGAAGCATCCTCCTTGAAGTATTTGGCTGAGGAGTTTTCAATCCCAGTAAGTTTTCCCCCCCTTTTTTCTTTTCCTTTCTTTTATATTACATTCACTGACTTACAGCATCAAGTAATAAAATTAGAGGAATATGTAAAACGGATGACTTTTTAAAGGTGGTACAGTCTTAATTGCTATAGCAAACATCATCATCATCTTAAATTAGTTGATCTGCTGAGATTATTTTATTCTTTTAATAATTTGAGCCTGGAGCAGATTTGAATGATGTTTTTAAAAGTTCGTGTAATTCCTCCTTTTCTTACTTCTCATTGTTTACTCTTTGTGTATGCTTTATATCACATTTGTCATACTGCAGTAAATATAAAGTAGTAAAACTTCATGAAATTGCCTAGGTTCATTTCTTTGTTGCAGTCATTAGTTTTGTTGTAAGTATTTTAGGTTTAGATACCATATTATTGTGTTCTGTGCTGTTTTGTGTGAGGTAGGATTTGGTTTGCTTCAAATGGTCAAAGGTCACTATTAAGGGGTGTTGGAATGATAGTAATGAAAGTGCCAGTAAGAAAATCTTGAAAGATTACTAGTGGCTTGATGTTGAGTAGTGGGCATTGTGATCAGAAATCTGAAGATGACGGGGTATTGTAAGGAGTTGTGAGGTGTAAGCTGCAACATTCCCATCTGTCAGAGGTTTCAGTTGTTCCACAGCGTTGTCATCGTTCAGGCTTCTCAATTTTAGTCATGCTTCATCTCAAGAAAAGACAGTTCCTTAAACTGAGATAAAATTTGGTTATGATTTTATTATTTTTAGATTTGTTTTTGGAAAATTAAAACAAATTCTTTGCAACATAAAGAACATCTGTAAGTGATATAAACTACCACACAGCCTTTGAGATTTATAAAACCAAGGAAGAAGTCAAGGGAGAAAATGTAGCATTCAAAAAATTCTACATATTTTAATGGCTTTTTAGTTTATTTTGAATTAAAGTCAAGTGATATTGTTTGTCTTGGGTGATGTTCCTCTTTTATAGTTTATTGTAGTTGGTTAAAATGATAAATTCAAATTTATATTTTTTTCTGGTCAAGGAGAATAAGGGAACTTTGAAATAGTTTATAAAGATACTTGATTGAATAGGAATTTATGTATACAGTTGGCCCTCTGTATCTGTGGGTTCTGCATCCATGGATTCAACCAACTAAGGAGAGGAGATATTTGAAAAAACACTGGGTGTGGTTGTATGCTCCTGCATTCTCAGCTACTCAAGAGGCTGAGGCAGGAGGATCACTTGGACCCAGCAGGTTGAGGTTGCAGTGAGCATGATCATGCCACTGTACTCCAGCCTGGGAGACAGAGTGAGACTCTGTCTCTAAAAATACTTATATATTTGGAAAAAAAGAAAAGGATTGTTGTCTTTGTACTGAACATGTACAGACTTTCTTTCCCTCTTTCCCTAAACAGTACAGTTTAGCAGTGATTTACATAGCATGTAAATCGTATCGGGTGTTATAAGTAATCTAAAGTTGATTTAAAGTATACAAGAGAATTTACATAGGTTATATGCAAACACTATAACATTTTATATGAGGGACTTGAGCATCCATGGATTATGGTATCTGCAGAGGAATCCTGGAACCATCCCCCCGTGGATACAGCAGGATGACTATATATTCTTATTTTATTATTAATTCATATTGTTGCTTGACTTAATCCTGTGCAAAATAAAATTCACTTTTTAAAAGTTGTATTTGTTTGCTTTTAAGTAGTAACTGTAGGCTAATGCTTTTCAGTTTTTTCTAAGGTGATTTATTTTCACAAGTGAGAAAGGGGCTCTACTTTTCTTTGTTTCTAATAGAACCCTCTGAAAAAAAATAGGTACTAAATATCCCATTTCTCTGTCTTTGTCTTTGTTTCTATATTTAGAAATAAATGCAGATTATACTGTGTACTTACCTAACTGTGATAACTGTTTTTTGTGACAAGTAAGATTGTAAGATTGGTTTTAAAAGAATTTTGAAAAATACTTCCTTTAGAAAATTTCAGAATTTTCCTAGCTAAATTGATGCATTTAAATGAAAAATCTCTCACACAGGTCTGAGATTTAAAAAAAAAAAAAAAAAAGGAAATCATGAACTTTTTTTTTTTAATTGCATTTTAGGTTTTGGGGTACATGTGAAGAACATGCGAGATTGTTGTATAGGTACACACATGGCAGTGTGATTTGCTGCCTTCCTCCCCATCACCTATATGTGGCATTTCTCCCCATGCTGTCTCTTCCCAACTCTCCACCCCCCGCTGTCCCTCCCCTGTTTTCTTCCAACAGACCCCAGTGTGTGATGCTCCCCTCCCTGTGTCCATGGGTTCTCATTGTTCAACACCCACCTATGGGTGAGTGAGAACATGTGGTGTTTGATTTTCTGTTCTTGTGTCAGTTTGCTGAGAATTATGGTTTCCAGGTTCATCCATGTCCCTACAAAGGACACGAACTCATCATTTTTGATGGCTGCATAATATTCCATGGCGTATATGTGCCACATTTTCCCTGTCCAGTCTGTCATCGATGGGCATTTGGGTTGGTTCCAGGTCTTTGCTATTGTAAACTGTGCCGCAATGAACATACATGTGCATGTGTCCTTATAGCAGAACGGAAATCATGAACTTTCTTACATTTATACTATACTTTGAATAGGTGGTTTTATTAAGTTGGTGCAAAAGTAATTGCGGTTTTTGCCATTAAAAGTAATTGCAAAAACTACGATATATATGGAAGTAAATGTCTTAAGATAGTGTTTTGTTGTCTGGTTCATTTGCTTTGCAAATTAGTAAACCTGTGTCTCTTTGTAATTCCTTTCACATGCCCATAGATACTCCCATTAGAGGAGTATTTCATGTTCTTCAACCTGGAAGCTTTCTCCTCTAAATATCCGCATGGCTTATTCTATCCTATCACCTTATCAGTGAGGCCTTTCCAAACCATATAAGTATTAACCATATCCCGGCTGCCCTCTTACTGTGCTTTGTTTCTTCTCCATCACAGCTTTCACCCCGTAGCATGTTATATATATAATGTTTGTGTGTTCCTTCTACTGTCTCATCCTCTCTCTCTCTCTCTCTCTCTCTCTCTCTCTCTCTCTCTCTATTGAGAAAGGGTATCACTCTGTCACCTAGGGTGGAGTGCAGGCACAATCACGGCTCACTGTAGCATCAACCTCCCAGGCTCAACTGATCCTTCCACCTCATCCTCCCAAGTAGCTGGGACTACAGGCAGGAACCACCACCACACCTGGCTCATTTTTTATTTTTTGTAGAGATTGATCTTACTATGTTGAGCAGTTTGGTCTCAGACTCCTGTGCTCAAACAGTTCTGCCATCTTGACCTCCCGAAGTGCTGGAATTACAGGCATGAGCCACTGGACCTGGACTGCCTTATTCTCAGTACCAGCAATAGTGCCTAACATATAGTAGACACTCAACAAATATTTTTGAATGTATGAATTGTAGATATTACTTCTCATCTTGGTCTTTAATTAATCTTATCTCTATTGGTACTGAACTTAAGTTTTAATATTTGCTTTTAACCTTATTTTTAATATACCTTTGGTTTTAACAGTAATAAAATACAATTTTCAGTGGCACAATGTCTTATATTGGAGATGTACTCCAATATTAAAATTCAAAATTCTTAAGATTCTTAAATTTGAAAAAGGCTTTAGAGATTTAGATAGTATCAGAGAGCCAGGCAGTAAGAGAAGAGATTTTTATCTCAGTCTAGTAGAACTATGACAGGTGAATGTCTGATGGCCTCTGAGCATTGGGTGGTAAGCCATGCATTCTAGATATATAGATGGCAGATAAACACATGAAAAGATAGTCAAAATCCTGTCATTAGGGACATGCAAATTAAAATCACAATGAAATACCACTACCCATCTATTATAATGGCTCAGAAAACTCTGATCTGAACCATTTTCCCTTCTCCCTAGGCTCAGGACCCAGGGCTGGTACCACCACAAACCCAGTAGCTTAAGGAATTAGGAAGAAGGGTAAGAGAGCAATCTGCTTATAAGAGCAGTGTTTTCTCAAACTAGGTTAAGTCATTGACTCCTTTTAAATGCAAATAAGATTCTCACAAAACCCCATTGCTGACTTCATTTTTATTATAATATCACAGAAATTACAGAATTATAAGACGAGTTAATAATTCTTTACATTAAATTGTGCTTATAAAACCATAAAGGTGGATTGCATCTACAGGCATCATCGTACTATTCTAATTACACCAATTTAATATGTTATAGATGATAATTTGCTAAATTAAATAATTGATTGTAATATATGTATATAAACTTATCTTACAAATTGTTTTGAAATATATGTATAAAACTACTTACATAAAACGTGATGACTCAGCTCTTCCACCTCTTTCTCTATTTGAACTAGCACTAAAAAACCTTCATCTGTTTGGGAAGAGTGACATAATTTGGCCCTCACGTGGGCTTGAATGCATTTAAGTTTTAAGTTTGCTGTTGCTCTTTTCTACATGGGTCCCTGAGAATTAAAGAGGAACTAATTGATATCACTTGATTGAAAATATATGTATTAATATCTTTTGGAAGTTTTCAATTATAAGATGGTTTTACTAATATTTTGAAGTTATCACCGAAATGAAAACAAATTAAAAAATTCTCACAGAGAATTTCATAGACGTTTGAATATGTTGAGACTGCAATTTTGAGAAACAGTTGTAGAAGTCTGGCAGAATCTTTTTTCCTCAAGTTTATGGAAGAGGTGTAAGTGATACTCTGCTGTTGGGTTGGAAGATGTAGAACCTTTGTCTTTTTAGAGCGTGTTCACATTAGTATTGAAAAAACAGTAGGCTCTGAGACTTTAGAGATACTTGATAAAAATAACAGAAAAGAATTTAAATATTGCCTTATAAAATAAATTGTGGTTATGGCTATTTATGTTGACTGTTTATCATTGACTTCTAATTACCACATACAGAATAGTTATTATACATCTTATAAATTATGTATCAGATTAAAATAATAGGATGTTTTTGCCAGAAAGGACCTTAAAGAAAATTTAGATTAGCCCCTTCATTTTACAGTGAGGCCAAAGGTGACCTGACTTGCTCCAATATATTCAGCATAGGAAAGGACAAGCAGTGGGTAGAATGAGAGATCTTTTAGATGCCAGTTTGAGGATTTTTTTTTCCATGGCAGAATTTTTTTTTTTTCTGAGACATACAGAATTATGGTAGATTTCTTAATGGCATGATTGTATCTTCTATTTCTTTGATTTCCAGGACCTAGCACTATGGATAACTAATATTTAGGAGGTAACAGCTAATGAAAGTATAATTCAGGTTTAAAAATAGTCTTACCATAATATGTATGTCATATTTACATTCATTGTAATATTTTTCTTTATCTTTTAAAACATAATTTGAATTATTTTATTCTTGCTGTTGAAATTCTTAAGTTTTTTTNGTGTGTATTAAGGAGTTTTTAATAATTTCAAAAATTGCATATTAAAACAATATTATATATAAAAATAACAGTGAAATAAAGACTTTTTTTTTTGAGACGGAGTCTCGCTCTGTTACCCAGGGTGAAGTGCAATGACACCATCTCAGCTCACTGCAATCTCTGCTCCTGGGTTCAAGTGATTCTCCTACCTCAGCCTCCAGAGTAGCTAGGATTACAGGCACATGCCACCACACCTGGCTAATTTTTGTATTTTTAGTAGAAATGGGGGTTTCACCGTGTTGGTCAGGCTGGTCTCAAACCCCTGATTTTGTGATCCACCAGCCACCGCACCCGGCCAAGTTTTTAAGTTGACCTTTGTAGCAGGCCGTGTTAGTTGTAATCTCTTTATTTTCCATTCCAGAGTTTTATAAGTTGTTGGAATAAAAGAGAATGAAAATACATTACTTAGATAACAGGACTTTCACCTTTTGAAAAGTCTTTGGAAATGCTTTTTACTCCTGTTTCCAAGATCTACATTTTTACTTTTTCAGAGAATTCAACAAATCAATTTCAGTTGTTATATGAATAATATTAAACTTTTTTTGTCTCCTCTGATTCTTCTACTTCCTTCATTTCTTGATATTGTACAAATGCTTTCTGGTGTAAGGGGACTAATACCAGTTAACACTATTTACAAAAGAAGTATATGGAGAAAAATTTGGATATATTATTAAATATTCTAAGAGGGAAATGCCTTATTTCCATTGAAAGTTGTTGTTAAAATCCAAATTATTTTGCTAAGATGTGCTTATAATCAGTTTTTCTGTTGCCATCTGTGTTCTTGATTACATGCCTTTTGAGAATATCCATTGCTCTAATTTATTGCTTATCAAGGTTTCTGGAATATTACTGATTACTTTTAAGTTTAAAGCTGCTTGGAAAAATGATTCAAGATATGTACATTTTTTATTTTGCTATTTTAAAGACAGAGTTTTAAATCATTAACAAATGGAAATAATTTTTTTCTTGTTTTAAAGTGGACATGTTACAAGGTTTAACTTTTTATTATTTGACAAAGCATAAATTTTTGTTTTCTTTTTAGTGATAAACTTCATGTGTGCCAGAATTTATTTATTATTATTATTTTTTACACCATGAGCTGTCCCATTATGCCAACTGGGTTTAATTTTTGTGGGATTATACCTTGTCTTAGATACTAATAAATATTGAAAATTAAAAAATAAGAAACTAGGCCACTTCACTTAAAATAATTAAGGTTTTATTAATTATAAATTGGGAATATTGTGTTTATAACTTGTGAGATAAGAGGAAAAAGAATGTATGTACACAAATTTGACATTTACTTTTATCTTAAACATAAATATTCAAAACTGTCACTTTTGTGAAAGCCTGATGAAGTTACTCTGATTGTAAAGTAGGAATCCTAGACCCTAGATGTAGACATAGATATGCCGTTAAAACTCTGCAGTCCTATTTTGCTGTGTGTAATGTTGTATGACTTTTCTAGAAATCATGTAATTTTTGGTTTACTCTTATTACTTTCATATTTATTACTGGAAACAAGCACCATAGGACTTCTGAAGTAAGAAAAGTCCTTTACAGTGTTTTTCCTTTCCATAAATACCTACTGTTGGCTCACTCTTATTTGAAATCAGATTGTTCTTAAAACTATCTTATGTTCATTCAGGTCCCTGAAACTCACAGTCTAGACTAAACCTTTATCAGTTAGTGAAAATAATTCTAGAAAAAGTATATCTATCTTTTGTGTAGCTCTTTATGCTTTCTGAAACTTTGTTTTTATTGTTTCTAGCAAAAAGCTAGAAACAAGTTAAAGGTTAATGAGTAGGTGATTGACTAAATTAGTGTTGATATATCCATACAGTATTATATTGTGCCATTGTTGAATGAGTTAGCTCAGAAATGGTTTTGCAGGCAAGGGTTAATTCAGCTGGCGTGGGTTACTCACACCCAGCCATTCCCAAAAAGGCCTCCTTTCAGGACTGCCCTTGACTGGCTCCTGGGAGATGAGAGCTGAGCCCTGGCAATATTCTGCTTGGTAAGAGTGTTATGTGCTTGAGGACTTGAGCCACAGGTACTGGTTTGATCAGATAGTTTATACAAACAGTGTCATTTATGGTGAAGCCTTATTTTTCTCTGGGGATCTGGGGACTACAATCTAAATAGCTGAGGTCATTCACATGCAGGCATTACATGCCTAGTGACTGTCCCTCAATAAAAATGCTGGACATGTAGGGGTGGGTGAACTTTCTTGGTTGACGTTACTTTGCATGTGTGGTCACACATTGTTGCTAGGACAACTAAGCATGTGCATGCAACTCCACTGAGAGAGGACACCTGGAATCTTGCACCTGGTTTCTCCTGGACTTTGCTCATGCTCCTTTTCCCTTTGCTTATTTTGATCTGTATCCTTTTGCTGTAATAAGCCATAACTGTGAATATAACAGCCTTTCTGAGTCCTATGAGTCCTTCTAGTAAATCATCAAGCCAGAAGGAAATGATGGGGACCCTTGACATCCAGGAGCACTAATACATGTGTACAAGAGTATCTATGGCAACTTAATTTGTAATTGCTCAAAACTGGCAACATGTAGTTAATAGTATTGCATCAATCTTAATACATTGGTTTTGATAATTGTGCTATGGTATGTAAGATGGTGATATTAGGAGAAGCTGGTAAAGGGCATTTGGGAACTCTGTACCCTTTCTGCAACTTTCTGGTAAATCTAAAATTGTTTCAAAATAAAAAATTTAAAAAACAAAAGGAGGTCAGGTGTGGTGGATCACACCTGAAATCCTTCATTTGGGAAACTAAGGTGGGAGGATCACTTGGCCAGGAGCTGGAGACCAGCCTGTGCAACATAGCAAGACCTTGTCTTCACATACTGTCCCCCCTCCAACACACAAACAATTAGCTGGGTGTGGTGGTGCACACCTGTAGTCATAGCTACTTGGGAGACTGGGGCAGGAGGATGGCTTGAGTCCAGGAGTTCAAGGCTGCAGTGAGCTATGAACATGCCACTGCATTCCAGCCTGGGTAACAGAGCAAGACTCTGTCTCAAAAATAAATACATAGGAGAGTAGGGCAGGTTTTATGAGTAGAAGTTGGCTCTGGGTACCCATAAGGAAACAGCACTGGCTGTATTTGGAGAAGGACTTGATTTTGATGCATTGGCTCTCTTCCGTTTAGTTATCTGGTTCCATAGATATTATCTAATACCTCTTCAATTTAAACCCTGCTCTTCATCTTTCAGCAAATCCTCTTGGCTCCACTTTCTAAATACATTCAGTACCCTATTACATTCTACCACCTTCATTACTACCATCTGGTTCCTGGAGGTTAAAAGTACTGGTTTTGGAGTTAGACATTGGTTTGAATCTTAGCTCCACTATTTGCTAATTTTATGACCTTGAATAAGTATTTATGCCAGCTTTAACTTTTAGTTTCCACGTTTGAAAAATGAGGATAATCATATCTGACTCATAGGGCTGTGAGTATTAAATGAGATAATGTCTGTAATGTTCTTCACAATGTTTGGCACATTCAGTAAAATGTAGCTTATAATTGTTAATTTTGCTAGTTACCTCATTCTAAGTGCCTGGTGTATGCTATCTCTCTCCTCCTAATATATTTTTTAACAAGGCTGCAAGTGCCTCAGAAGGAAAAATCATGTCTTATTTACGGTTGTATCCCCTCTGTGGTTATTGATGGAGGCTGTTACTGCCTGAACCCTCCTTTATCTGGTTAACTCATATTTATTTTTTGGATCTTAGACTCTTTTTGTCTTTCCTTTTTAATTCCACCTTTAGCACTTGCATCCAAAGCTCCATGGAGGCACAATGGGATAATAAAGATGAATAAAACATAGTCTTTACCCTAAAGGCTTTTACAAATAAGGTAATTGTAGAGACAAATCGCTCTCTGTGATATAATGGAGAATAAAATAAGTATCTTGTCTACTGTTCCTTTTCTGTTTCTTACAAATTTGTAAGTAACTTGGTACTTCCCTGTCTGTCCGTTATTTGGGACTATAGATTACACAGAGGGAATTAAAGGGAGGTAGCACAGACCTTCATAGGCTCTTGGTAAACCCTTTATCATGTCTAGCTTTGACCCTTAAATGTTCCATTCTTTTTTTAGTTTTATTTTTTGAGACAAGGTCTCTCTCTGTTGCCCAGGCAGGAGTGCAGTGGCATGATCATAGCTTACTGCAGCCTTCATCTGCCGAGCTCAAGTGATCCTCCTGCCTCAACCTCCCAAGTAGCCGGGACTACAGGCATGTACCACCACGCCTAGCTAATTTTTTTGATTTTTAGTAGAGATAGGGTCTTGCTATGTTGACCAGGCTGATCTTGAACTCCTGGGCTGAAGCTGTCTGCCCACCATTGCCTCCCAAAGTGCTTGGATTACAGGCATGAGCACCATGCCTGGCCAGTGTCCCATTCTTATTTAGAAAGTGATTGCTCTTTTGGAGACTGATAGGTAGTGGTTAAATTGATAAAGCACATGCATAATTCTAAAGTTGTATTGCTAAGAAAAGGTTGGAAATGAAGGCCAGCTAGGTAGCTCCTAGTCTTTAGTGTTACATATGTTACACAGTGCCTTGATTTGTTGTAAAATTTTCTAATTGAAGATCTTAAGGTTGTAGCTGAGTGGTAATCTTGTTTTCCATTGAGTCCAGAGATGCAGAGAATGAGGCGATGTATCTAAGATTACTTAAGGAGCCATTTGGATAATTGAATAATATCACTTGCCACTTCTATCCTGGGTTGTTATTGTAATATCTTAATGGGTCTGCTCCTCTCTTTTCTGTATCAGTATGAGGGAATGTGTTCTATTTCCGGGGCCACAAGGGGGCATAGTTATAAGGGCAAGACTTCCCAGCGCCACCCCCCCTCCCATCTCGCTCCATCTGGGAGATTTGTTTACGTTGGAATTTCGCAGGCAGGAGAAAGGGTCAAAAGTCAATCACTCCAGTGGAAGTTCTAAGGAACTCCTTTCATTGGCCCGGGGTCTTAGAGAAGGTGGGGGTTCCTGCCAGGCTAAAAGTCCCCTTCTTCCACACCCCTTTGGACTCCATGTTTGGGTTCCACGAACACTATCTCATGGAAGCCTGTCTTCCCCTCCTAAACTCCATCTGTCTCTATTCCCTTCCACTCAGTGTGGAAGCTGCTTTCCTCTCTTGTAATCCATCTTTCTGGATTCTCTCACTCAGTGTTGGAGGAGCTTTCCTTCTCTGGTTTTCTCCCTCTGGAAATGCTTCTCACTCAGTGTGAGAGTGGCATTTCTTTCTCAGTGTGAGAGTTAGCTGTTTCTCTCTCCTTCTCCGTTCTCTCTCTCTAAATAAGTCGCTTTCTACAAACACTTTTGAGTCCAGCATTTACTGTGCACTGCACCATGGTCCCCTCTCCCATTCTTGAGAGGGCAGGAGACCAAGAACCTGGAGAAACGTCCTCTCAGGGGAGCTGAGGGTACCCTGAACCCCTGAACCCCAGTATTACAAGTAATAGTTCATATGGGTACATACCGTTACTACATCATTTTCCCAAAGTGTATCTCTGATCATATCCCTCCTATGTTCAGAAGCATTGTGTGGTACCATGATGCTTATAGAATTAAAACTAGTAGACTGTAAGCCCTATGGGAGCAGATAAACTATTTGTTTTGTCCACAGTTGAATCCTTTGCAGCTAGAACAGTGTATGGCACATAATATATTCTCTAATTAATATTTATTGAATGATTAAGTCTCAGTTTAATATATCATATGATATTTAAAGGTTTCTTGCTTCTGGCTCCAACCTGCTCCTCCCATGTTGTCATTTCTCTTCTGTGCAGACTGCTGGCCTACCCCTGGACCTTTCTACGTCTTTTTAGCTGTGGATGTCCTCCTCTTTCGTCTCTTCCTTTCTAATTTTTTTTTCTTTTCTGACTGAGCTCTCAAGTTCTGTCTCTCCCCTGAGATTTTTGTATCACTGTTTTAGCCCCAGTTAATTCTACTTTCTTTTATAGTACACATGGTCTAACTTCTAATTGGAACTTTAATCATGTATTTGCCTTGCAATGCCATTTAAATATTTGCATGTGCATATCTGAGCTCCTCAGTTATACTGTAAACCTCCCTGAAAACAGAATTATGTTCTTATGCATCCTCCATAGCTGCCTATATTGAATAGTGTTGTATATTGAGTAGGTGTCCAGTACATATTTGTAGAATGATGTAACACACTTTTTTTAGTTAGACAGTTTTTGAAATGCATATCTAATTAGATACCTTCTTCAGTTGTTACACTACTTAAAGGGAAAGCATTCTAACATTCATTTAAAAATTGAAAAGATACTTAGAAACTAAAACTTAAGTGTCTCCCCTACCCCTTTAAAACAGTGTAGAAGATTCATTGATAATTTGACAGCTCTGTACCTTTAATTTAGTATGATGCAAGAACTTCTGTGAGATATCAACCAAGATTTTATACAAAGAGCTGTGATTATCAGGGTGGGAATTTAACATCAGTGCTCTGTACATAGTATTACTATAATACCTTCTTTAGAAGTTTAACTATGTCAGATGATATTCTATGTTATGAATTTTAATTCATGAAAGGAAAACACTGTAGAGAAGTTAGATTATCTGTTGAATAGAATCTAATAACAGCTCACTGTTTAATTGAATTCAAATACACAGTTGAAAATATAAAACTGGCTGTATGAGAGTTTGGTCAAAAGATAATTTCTTGTGTTTTTCAAAGACAAAATTTGCTTTTTTGGTTGATACTGTTACATATCCTTTGCATTTCTTGAATGTGTCCACTTAGTTAGTATAGTACAGTTAAGACAATTACCTTCCAAGTAAAGCTGGAGGCAAAGTACTTTCTGATATAAAAATATATTTCAAAATAATAAAACAGTATGATACTAGCATAAAAACAGATATACTGACCAATGGAACAGAATAGAGAGCAGTAGAAAGTACCCAGAATCGCAATACAGTTCACAATATTAAAGATATGGAATCAATCTAAGTGGATGATTGGGTGAAGAAAATGTAGTATGTATACACAGTAGAATACTCTTCAGCTATAACAAAGAATGAAATGATGTCTTTTGCAGCAACGTGGATCAAATCGGAGGCCATTATCTTATGTGAAATAAGCCAAACACAAAAAGACAAATATCACATATAAATGGGAGTGAAATAGTGTGTACTCATGGATGTAGAGTGGTAGACAGTGGAGCCTGTCTATCAGGCATGATAGACAGGAATGATAGACAGTGGAGCCTGGGAAGGGTGGGAGGGGATTGGTTGATGAGAAATTACTTAATTAGTACAATGTATGTTACTTCGGTGATGGATACATGGAAAGTCCTGACTTAATCACTATGCAAAGTATTGTGTAACAAAATTACACTGGATCTCATATTTTTATATAAATGAAATGAAAAATGAAAGAAAATAGAAGTTTAAGTACCAAATGTGTTACAACTAGCTATGCAACCCTGGACCAGTCAGTTCTCATTTCTCAGCCTCAGTGTCATTATCTGTAGAAAGTGGCTAAAAGTTGCTATCTTATAAGGCTTAATATTATTGTTACTAATAATATTGATAAATGAATAGTAATAGTATATTTCTGATTACTAGACTTTATACAGGTTTTTATAATTTATAAGCACTTTCATATGTAATAATCTTATAGGGATAATATATGTTTATATTTCTGAAAGGACTTTGTAGATTCTGAAGTACTATGTGACTATTAGTTGATAGTTTCATAACCAGCTAAATCTGATTTAGTGACTTTTTTTTACCTTTAGTTAATTTAACAATGAATCAGAGTTTTCTTTTTTTTTTTTTTTTTTGAGACGGAGTTTCGCTCTTGTTACCCAGGCTGGAGTGCAATGGCGCGATCTCGGCTCACCGCAACCTCCGCCTCCCGGGTTCAGGCAATTCTCCTGCCCCAGCCTCCTGAGTCGCTGGGATTACAGGCATGCGCCACCATGCCCAGCTAATTTTTTGTAGTTTTAGTAGAGACGGGGTTTCACCATGTTGACCAGGATGGTCTCGATCTCTTGACCTTGTGATCCACCTGCCTTGGCCTCCCACAGTGCTGGGATTACAGGCTTGAGCCACCGCGCCCGGCCGAATCAGAGTTTTCTAAACTCAAATAATGCACTTAACTCAATTTGTTTAGCTAAAGCAAACGTTTTTGAATGTTTTTTGACTAGTGTTAAGATTGTTTTAAAATTAGATAGTAAGGACATCTGGCTTTTATATTATTCTTATTTAAAGATGTAGAGATGGTGATGCAGTAAAATTCATGAGTGGTTAGTAGTTGGGGCCTAGTGTCATTTTTTGGAGTTATAGTGATATACTCTGTCCACTAAGAGCAAGATTATCATTTAGTGATAAATCAGTGTAGTTATTTTAAAATAAATATTTAGTACTTTATGTTTACAGAGGACCCTGCAATTATTAGTTAGTTTATACCAATATTCATTGCTATATAAAGGGCTGGGCAAGTGCCTGTAATGCCCAACTTTGGGCAGGATTTATAGGCATCTTTGAGAAAACTTTTTTTTTGAAGATTGAGTCTTGCTGTGTCACCCAGGCTAGAGTGCAGTTGTGCAACCTCCGCCTCCGAGGTTCAGGTGATTCTCCTGCCTATGCTTCCCGAATAGCTGGGATTACAAGCGCCCACCAACATGCCTAGTTAATTTTTGTATTTTTCGTAGAGACGGGGTTTCACCATGTTGGCTAGGCTGGTTTCAAACTCCTGACCTCAAATTATCCATCTGCCTCGGCCTCCCAAAGTGGGATTACAGGCATGAGCCACCGAGCCCGGCCTGAGAAAAATTCTAACTCTGGATTTAGTTGGTTTGTCTGTATACTGTCAGGATTCTGCAAAGCTTATTTGATTGTTTATTTGTACCAGCATTTGCCCAGAGAAGTTATTCTGAAAAACACTCTCAAAATGATAAAAAACCTTTTCTGTGCATTTGTTTCAGAATTTCATCGCTTCTAGGATCTAGAATTTCTTTCTAAAGTGTAACCTAAGTATTTCCCTTCAGAAGTTAAATAACTAATATTTTTTAGTGTAACCACCATTTAAGGCATTTTTAAAAAATGAAATAGTCTGCTTTCAAGACTCTTGTTTCTATTATGAATATAAAACATATTTTTAAAAAGATTAACATTACACAGTAGTAGATAAGTACTAATTAGGTATTTGTGCGAGATACCGTTAGTTGCCTACCCAAAACTTATTTTTATCTTAACCTTGTTAATAGAACCCTAATCAAGTTTTGGTAGCCGTGTGCCCAGCCCTGGTTCATGACAGTCATTGTGTTTCCTGATTTCTCAACTACTTTTACAACTGAAGATAGTCATGTGACCGAGTTCTGGACACTAATGTCTGTTTTAGCTCTCCTTTTTTTTCCTTTCCATCTTTTATTTTAGTTAGGGCGTACCTGGAGCAGGTTTGTTATTTGGGTAAATTGCATGTTATGAGGGTTTGGTGTTCAGATTATTTCATTACCCAGGTAATAAGCATAGTACGCAGTAGGTAGTTTTTCAGTTCATACCCTCCTTCCACCCACCACCCTTAAATAGGCCCCAGTGTCTATTGTTTCCATCTTTGTGTTCATGAGGACTCAGTGTTAAGCTTCTACTTACAAGTGTGGACATGTGGTATTTGGTTTTCTGTTACTGCATTAGTTAGCCTAGGATAATGGCCTCCAGCTCTATCCATATTGCTGCAAAGGACATGATTTAGTATTTTTAATGGCTGCATATTAATCTATGGTATATATGTACCACAATTTCTTTATCCTATCAACTATTAATGGGCCTTTAGGTTGATTCCATGTCTTTGCTATTGTGAATAGTGCTGTGATGGACATACGCATGCTATGTGTTTTTAGGGTAGAATGATTTATATTCCTTTGGTTATATACCTAGTAATGGGATTGCTAGGTTGAATGATAGTTCTAAGTTCTTTGAAAAGTTGCCAAACTGCTTTCCACAATAGCTAAACTTATTAACATTCCTACGAACAGTGTATAGGTGTTCCCTTTTCTCTGCAACCTCACCAGCATCTATTATTCTTTGAGTTTTCAATAATAGCTATTCTGACTGGTGTGAGATGGTATCTCATTGTGGTTTTAGTATATATTTGTCTAATGATTAGGGATTTTGACCATTTTTTTCATTTGCTTTTTGGCTGTGTGTTTGTCTTTTTTTGACAAGTGTCTTTTCATGTCCTTTGCCCCTTTTTAATGGACCTGTTTGTTTTTACTTGTTCATTTCTTCAAATTCCTTATAGATTCTGGATATTAGATCTCTGTCAGATACATAGTTTGCAAATATTTTCTCCCTTTCTGTAGGTTATCTGTTTATTCTCTTCACAGTTGTTGTTGTTGCTGTTGTACAGATCTCTTTTGTTTAATTAGATCCCATTTGTCAGTTTTTTTTTTTTCAGTTGCTTTTGGAGTCTTTGTCATGAAATCTTTGTCATGGCCTGTGTCCAGAATAGCATTTCTTAGGTTTTCTTCTAGGGTTTTTTTATAGTTTTAAGTTTTATACATTTAAGTCTTTAATCTTTCTTGAGTTGGTTTCTGGACATGGTGAAGGGAAGCAGTCTAATTTCAATCTTCTGCATATGGCTAGTCACTTAAGTCAGCACCATTTATTTAATAGGGAATTCAGTAAATGCTGCTGGGATTGCTTGTTTTCATCAACTTTGTTAAAGGTCAGATGGTTGTAGGTAGGTATGTGGCTTTATTTCTGGGTTTTCTGATCTATTCTGTTATGTGTCTGCTTTGTACTAGTACCATGCTGTTTTGGTTACTGTAGTTTTGTAATATAATTTGAAGTTGAGTAGCGTGATGCTTCTGGCTTTGTTATAATATTTTTGTTTAGGATTGCTTTGGGTTTTTCAGGTTCTGTATGAATTTTAGAATAGTTTTTTTTTCTAATTCTGTGAAAAATGTTGGTAGTTTGATAGAAATAGCATTGAAACTGTAAATTGCTTTGGGCAGTATGGCCATTTTAACAATATTGATTCTTTCAATCCATGAATATTCAATTGAATCAGAATCTATTTTAATAGGATCCCCAGATAAGTCATATGCACACAAAAGCTGGAGAAGTGTTATTTTAAACCACTTCGAATTGGATTTTTATTTACTTGCAACTGGATGCATCGTGACATGACATTCTAGAGTTGTTTTTTTTTTTTTTTTTCTTGTTTGTTTGTTTTTCCTGAAGAGGTGCAACCTTCTCCAGGCATGCTGTTGTGAATAGCGGAGGGGCGCCATTTCTGATTATGATAGAAACAGCATTTGTTTAGTCATGAAACAGTTTAAATAGTTCTCATTATACTTTGATTTTTTTTTTCATTTTTTTAAATAGTTATTTTTAGATGAAACCTAAAACTATACTCTTTACTACTTGTAAAAAAAGACCCTACTGTTATTTTTGGCAAGTCAGGAGCTGTAACCTTAGCTGTGCTGGTTAAAAGCCAGCTTTGAGAGTTGCATTTTACCTCCCTTAGGATTACTCCTTCCCATTCTTTCCTCAGTTCCGTTCCTATTTCAGCTAGATAGAGTTTTGTTCTGCATCTCTATTCCAGAACCATTACTCTCTGGGGAGTGACTCTTATAAACTGCTGCCTTTTAGACCAGATGTGTGTTTCAGTTACATGAATAAAGAAAAGAATGTCATCCCCCTGCCATTTTGGGAAAATTTTTTTCTTCTACTCTATGTACAAAGCCAAATGCCACATTCAATAAAAGAAAAACATATTTTAAGTTGTACTTCTTGTTTGTCCATTTTTGTAGAGGGCTTAATGAGTCTGCAGCTAGATATTTTGAATGGTTCAATTCACAAATTAGATTATCATTCTGTGATTAATTGAGAATGATCTCTCTGTGGTATGCTTTATAGTGAGAATTACCAAAGGTCTGTATTCACTCAGAAAGGTCTTAGCTTTAAAAGCAGTCTTTTAAAGGAAATGTAGCTATGCTGATTGATTTTTTTTATTGTTATTCTTTGAGTTTTTACTGTGCACTAGGCATTATGCTAGATACTGTGAAAATATATCTATAATTCTTATTTTAGACGTGATAACTTTGAGGCTACAGAGATTATGTAACATGCAGAAAATTTTTNACCATGTTGACCAGGATGGTCTCGATCTCTTGACCTCATGATCCACCCGCCTCGGCCTCCCAAAGTGCTGGGATTACAGGCGTGAGCCACCGCGCCCGGCCTCACAAAAATTATTCTTATGGCAAAAAGCACTTACTGTGTGCTAGGAAATTATCACATTTTATTTACAACCCTTTTGAATCTTATCCAAAGGGATTGGTTTAGATTTTCTGAAATGTGCTAGTATTTGAGTGGTTTGAGTGCTAAGACACATACACCACAGTCTCTGCCTTGAAGGAGTACAGCAGATGAAAATGGACATGTAGACAATTACATTATAATAAGATGATGACTTTATCCAAGTTATATATAAACAGGACTCAAGGAGAAAAGCACTTATGTCACTTTGGTATGTTTAGGCATGGTGTCACATAAGAGAGGGGAGCATCCAAGGTAAGAACTGAAAGATGACAGTTTGCTCAGTGACTAAGCTAAAGGAAGGGCAATTTGTAAAGGTTTGTTTGGTGGTTAAGAAGAACATGAAAACTGGAAGTCTAAGAAAATGGAGAAGAGTTAAAAATAACACATTTTGGAGTGTTTGCTAAATAAAAAAAACGGAAAATTCATCTGAGAAATAGGTATATACCTCATTAAAACTTTTTAAATATAAAAATAGAGGTGAAGTCTCACTGTGTTGTCCAGGCTGGTCCCAAACTCCTGGCTATAAGTGATCCTACTGCTTCGGCTTCCCAAAGTGTTGGGATTACAGGTGTGAGCCACTGCACCCAAACGATATGTGCCTTCTTGACGATAAACCCAAATATTTTGTTTTTTTAAATGTTTGTAGCACAGATTTTAAAAACTAGGGAGCAATTTGAAGATGGATTTGTGGTATTAGATTGAGCTCATTCTAAAAGGGCCTTAGGGAAAGAGTAAGGGAGAAGTGAGGGCAGGAATAAACAAATGGAATATTATTTTCCAGTAGCCTTGAGGACAGACACCATGTATGGCACATCCTAGTTTGATCAGTTTCTCTTAGTAAGATAGTATTTTTTGAATTACAGTATTTGAACAATATTTTAATCAGAAAAAATAAAGTATCATAATCTTCTTTCCCTTTTGTTAGTAAAATAGAGCCTTGACAATTGTCTGCATTTTTTTATTTTTTTGAGACAGGGTTGCACTCTGTTGCCCAGGCTGGAGTGCAGTGGCACAATCATAGTTCACTACAGTCTTGAACTCCTGGGTTCAAGCAATACTCCTGCCTCAGCCTCCTAAGTAGCTAGAGGACTACAGTCACACGCCTCTGTGCTTGGCTAATTTTTATTTTATTATTTTTGTAGAGATGGTGTCTCGCTATGTTGCCCAAGCTGATCTTGAACTCCTTGCCTTAAGTGATCCTCCCACCTTAGCTCCATAACATGCTGGGATTACAGGCATGAACCCTGTACCTAGCCTGCAAATAAATTTTTGTCTGAGCCTCAAGTTATGGTCAGAATAAACTCTTACCATTTTTACAGCCCTTCATATATCTTGTCTAGATTGCCTAACCAGTATCTAAAACAGTGCATATAAACTATAATGTACATTTAGATATAACTTGAGCAACAAAAATGAAAACAATTCCTCTTCAAGGCTTTACATGATCTTTATTTGGTTTACAGTTTGCTTCAATTTAGGGAGAAGGACTTCACAGAAGTCTTGTAGGGGGTCAATTTAAAAGAACTTTCACAGAAATATTTATGTACATTTTTTAGAAATAACAGGCATGACAGTAATTTCCTTGGGGAAAAATGTTTAATATCACCATACTCAGAATACATTTTTGTGAATATGCAATTTGCAATTGTTTAGTATACACTACAAAATCCTAATTTTAGAAAGTTTCCAACGGTCTAAATATCAGAAGAATCCAATATTTTGGTACAAAGATGAACCATTTCCTATATAGCAAAATTAAATCTACCCGTATTCTAACATTGAGAAATGAGATAAAACACATTAAAAAGCCTACCTAGAAAAGGTCAAGTGACCTCAAAGACGTTACTATTTTCATGTTTTAAGACACATGATTTTCCCTATTTTAGTAACCTGGTTCATATGTTAAATAAAGAGTAATGTGAACAGCAGAGAGAATTTGTTGGCAGGAGACCTATGTTCAATCTAGAACTGTCTAGAACACATTTATTATCTAGACATTCATTATTATCTAGACATTTCTATTCCTTGTGCAAGTTGGCACATAGTAAATGCCAGAATGAATAAATAAATGACATTAACAATGATGTCTTCATGTGTAAATCAGAGATAATACCACCTACCACACAGAATGTTTGTAAGGAAAAAAAGAACAAATAAGTACTGAAGTGCTTTATAAGATTCCGAGTTATTTAAAAAATCTGTGTTAATACGTTTGTTATTTTACACAAAATATCAAACTTCAAATGAACTCCAGTACTGGGTTTTGATATAGTATTTTATTTAGAGCTATGTTTTACTTTTAACAAAGATACCATTAATAACAAATTTGTTCAGTGTTCATTTTAAACAGTAAAAATGTCTTACAGCTCATTCAATAAAAAAACCATACTTCAGGTCAAATGCTAATGTCGTTGTACCTCCTTTGCTAAGTCAATATAAGGAGGAATCTGTTTTGTTTTAAAACAAAAGCATTTGATTATAAAAAGGTCTACAGTTTACAGTTTTTATTGAATTCCAATTCAACAGCATTTATCAAAGGACTTTATTTCTTTTATGGCATTTAACATATTATATAATAAATATTACTTGTTTCTCTCAGGAGACAGAGCAACTTGAGGGCAGAAAATTATGTCATATTCCTTTTTATATCAAGTACCTAGCCTTTGGCTGGTTCTTTGTAGAGGTTGGTGCCCCGTAGACAGAGAACAAATGAACAGAAGATCTGTGTTGTGACTAGCAGAGGAAAAAAACCATTATAATTTCAGTTAGTTTCACGGTCAGAGTGATAAAAAAAAAATCTATCAAACTGAAAACAGGATTTTTAATAGACTGCTTTTAGGTTATTCTCTGTGAATGAAGCTAGTTTTAAGATAGACAAATGTATGGTAATAAAACAATTTGATGGGAAGAGTTTGGAGCAAGTTATCAAGACAGTAACATGAAAATGACAGATAAAACACAGAATAGTTTACAATTACTGAGTAGTAGTTTATTTAATACTGTCACATAATAATGAATGAAGATGAAGTAACCTTGTCAAAAGGTTGTTGTATTTTACAATATTTTATTTTTATGATTTAAAAAATTTGTCAAAATATCAAGATATTATTGTAGATGGGTACTGGGCTACATAAATAAGTGTTCTGTAGCAGGGGTGAAGGGTGAACCACATGAGAGTGGTTATATTTGGAAAAAATAGTTTTTATTCAGAAGATTATTTGTCCAACTTATTTTGAGTTATAAAGTAGATATGGTCAGTAAATAATATGCTGGTGAAAAGTTATTTGAAACTATACTAGAAAAAAATAAATATATAATAACAATTCCAAGGAACTACATCCAATACTTAAGATAAAATAACTAGCAAGATTTATAACATCCACAAAAAGATTTTCATAAATACCTGTTTTAAATACCTCTGGGAATTATAAGAGACTTTTTCCTACCTTTGCATTTCGTTAGGAGGCATTCCTTAGTAAAAAGAGTGCTAATACTGTAAAAGAATTGTTGCTAGGATCCAAGCAAATGCAATTGTTAATGGCTGGCAAAAAAAGTTTTTTTAAAAAATCATAAAGTAGCTCTTACTTTACAGGGAAGATTTACAACAATTTATGACTTGGTATATGCTACCTTCATATGTTAGTATCACAAGCTTGAATTAAATAAGTTGAGTTAAATAACTTGATTATATATTAGCAAATTTTTACATGATTTCAACAAAGCTGTTTGAAGCAAAGAGTTCCTTTTAAACATTAGTAAAATAAAGCAAACCCTTTAGTTGTTCGAGTGGCAATAATAAGAATAGTTCTGGTACTTTTATTTTGTAAAATAATTAGCATTTGCATACCACTATCACAGACATACATATATTTCCATAGGGAACATTTCCCTTATGCACTATGGTTGCTCTATTTGTTTTTTTTTTGTTGTTGTTGTTGTTGTTTTAGAAACAGGAGTCTTACTCCATCGCCCAGGCTGGAGTACAGTGGTGCAATCACAGCTCACTACAGCCTCAACCTCCTAGGCTCAAGTGATCTTCCCACCTTAGCTTCCCAAATAGCTGGGAAGACAGGCATGCTGGTTGCTCTATTTCACTCACTAATAAAGGAGATAAAAAGCAAGCTGATGTCTAAGATAAAGTGATAACATTTTAGGTTATTAATACAAATTGTGAAGATATAAGTAGTTTCCCGTGATTAAATTTTACTGTGGGTTTATGAAGAGGAAAGAAAAAGCCCACAATATTGATACGCTTGCTATTTTTGAGGTATAGTATGTATTTGGAAAGTAGTTAAAAAGAAAAAAAAAAGCGTAGGAGTTTTGGTTATCAACAAATATGGGAGCACCAATTTTGAATGGAAATGTAAGATTTTTATTATGAGAAAAAGAGTAGTATACATTTATCTATTTGTTTAAGATAAAAGCTAGGTCCTGAACTCTAAATTATTTTATATGTTTTCTTAGGTGAATATAATCACCTACTAGATTTTACTAATTTGAAGTACTTGAGGCTTTACCTAGTTTGGATGACTCAATGGTACCTCACATTCAAATATTTTCAAAATATTTTACAACCTATTTTAAAATCGAATATTCTTATGAGAGAGGCCATCATAATCTCACTTTTACTGGTTAAAAAAAATACAGAAAGTTTAAATTTAAAAACTTGCCCTGTACCTTTTCTTTTCTTTGAGACAGAGTCTGACTCCGTCACCAGGCGCCAGGCTGGAGTGCAGTGGTGCGACCTCGGCTCACTGCAACCTCCGTCTCCCGGGTTCAAGCAATTCTCCTGCCTCACCCTCCTGAGTAGCTGGGACTACAGGTGTGCGCCACGACGCCCAGCTAATTTTTTGTATTTTTAGTAGAGACCGGGTTTCACCATGTTGGCCAGAATAGTCTCGATCTCTTGACCTCGTGATCCTCCTGCCTTGGCCTCCCAAAGTGCTGGGATTACAGGCGTGAGCCAGTACCTTTTCTTTTCTATAAATTTTTCAAATCACAGTGCCTATTATAATTTAATTAATACCAACCCCAGCAGTTTTAAGGTCATGCTAAATGTTGGTTAACTCCTATTTCGCATCTTATTTAGAATGCAATATGCCAACTTTGGTACAGGAAAAAATTCTTTTCTAATATAAGTTAAACATATTACTTATCATAAGCTGTTTTTTAACAGTAGTTTAAAAAGACAAAAACAAAAAACACCTTTCAAACAAACACTTTCCTAGGAAAATTTTTAAGTACATAATTCTAATGTAAGGCACTTCCATTCATTTTCAAATAAAATTTTCATAAAAAGTTTTTTGTTCTTATGTCATCAAGTCTTCACAAATTACATAGTGATGTTACTTCAAGTAAAACTTTATTAAATAATGTATTTTGGCATAAGTGCCATAATTTACCTCTGAAGAGAATGAAGGATAGCTATCAAGCTCTGTGCAAACTAAACTTAAATGAAGGTACTCTTGGTCTGTTTTAGATTTATACTTGGCAGTGTTTTATCTTGCTGATCTTGTTCAAGGAGCTTAAAATCTTCCAAAGGAAGACTTCTTAAGGCAGTTGGTAAAATGTGTTCTGATGTACCTTTAGGTAATACATTATTTGCTTCTAAATTCTTTACCAAACACGTGGCTTTGATCCATCTTCGAGTAGCTCTGCGTTCCTTTTGTAGGCAGGTTTTCATTTTTCTTCTTAAGCTCGCTATTTCTTTTTCCAGTTTAATTATCCTCTTTTTTGCCTCCATAGGATTCCTAAAGGCATAACCGTGTTCAAGTAGTACTTGCTGACTACTAATGTTTGATTTTAAATTAGATGGTCCAGCTGGAGAACAACTGTTGTTTTTCTTCAAAAGATTCCTTGACTTGAGTTTCATAGACTTTATATGGGTACAAAAATCAAAAATGGTTGGAACAGCATCCGTTTTAAGTCGTCGAGTTTGTCCTGTTAGGTCAAAACAGGAAGCTTCAAAGTGCTTTGAACAAAGAAAAGTGTGTTTTCCTGGCACAAAATTTTTGCGCCTAACCAGGCAAACCCATTCTTTTCTTTTTTTAGGATCCAAAGGAAACCTGTGGAAGCTGATGTTAATGTGCTTGTTGTAGGTAGTGGCACAGCCCGCCGCGTTGCAATTGGTCGGCATTTCCCTTTCCCACTCATTCAGCACCCTTAGGTTTCTACTGAGGCGCTGGCTGCTAAGTTTCCTTTTGGCAGAGGCTGGATACCTCCTGACTTCTTAATCTTTTAATGGTAACGTAAGTTTTTCAGTAATCAAGATTTACATTTTTGACTCTTTAATTTTCTTCATATTCTTACATTTTATCAATCTGCAATGCCTTTTAGTTCTTACTGAATACAGTTTCTTGGTAATTATCCCCCACTATATATTCCCACTGCTGTCACCCTAGTTTTACCTATCACTGTATCATTTAGGCCAGTGATTATCAACCTTTGGTGGACCTATGAATCATCTAATGGTGCTTTGTCAAAGTATAAAGAGATTTTGACTTACTAGTTTAAGGTCATGGGTGATTCATCAAAGCTGAGATATCTAGGGCAGTGATCTTCAAAATGTGATCTTGGGACTGCTGGGTATCTCTGGGACTCTATCAGGGATCTGCAAAGTCAAAACTATTTTCATAGTTAGATTAAGATGTAATTTACCTTTTTCATTGTGTTGACATTTGCACTGAATGTGAAGAAAATAGTGATGGATAAAACTTGTAGTGTCTTAGCTCAAATTAAGAGTGGTACCATACCAAATTAGTAATCAACGCATTCTTCACTGCCACATACCAGTTTTGCTTAATAATGTCTTCAATTAATCAGTTAAAATTAGTATTTAAATTTTATTTTTAATTTTTGTAGATACATAGTAGGTGTGTATATTTATGGGGTATATGGGATATTTTGGTACAGGTATACAGTATGTAATAGTCACATTCAGTTATACTCTTTTAGTTATTTTTAAAGTACTTAAAATTATTATTTTTAAAGTATTTTTAAATTATTGACTATGGTCACCTGTTATGCTATAAAATTCATGAATTCTTTATATTTTTTTGCACCTATTAACTATCCCCACTTCTCTGTCCCACTCTCCACTACTCTTCTGAGCCTCTGGTAACCATCATTCTACTCTCTCTCTCCATGAGTTCAATTTTTTTTTTCTTTTTGAGATGGAGTCTCGCTCTTTTGCTCAGGCTAGAGTGCAGTGGCATGATCTTGGCTCACAGCAACCTCCACCTCCCAGGTTCAAGTGACTCTCTTGCCTCAGCCTCCAAACTAGCTGGGATTATAGGTGTATACCACCATGCTCAGCTAATTTTTGTATTTTTAGTAAAGATGGGGTTTCACCATGTTGGCCAGGCTGGTCTCAAACTCCTCACCTCAAGTGACCCACCCACCTCGCCCCCACAAAGTGTTAGGATTACAGGCATGAGCCACTGTGCCCAGCCAAGTGTTTTAATTTTTAGTTCCCATAAATACATGAGAATGTGTGAAGTTTGTCTTTCTGTGTCTGACTTATTTTACATGACACAGTGACCTTCAGTTCCATCCATGTTGCAAATGACAAGTTCTCATTTTTTTTTTTTTATGGATGAATATATTCCATTGAGTATACATTTCTTTATCCATTTTTCTGTTGACGGATACTTAGGTTGCTTCCAAATCTTGGCTATTGTGAATAGTGCTGCAGTAAACATGAGAGTGCAAATATCTCTTCAATATACTGATTTTCTTTCTTTTGGGTGTACACCTAGCAGTGGAATTGCTAAATCATATGGTAGCTCTATTTTTAGTGTTTTGAGGAAACTCCAAACTATTCTTCATAGTCATGCTAATTTAAATATGGATATTTGGTTTCCCCCGCACTGTTTATTGGAGAGACTGCCATTTCAACAATGTATGTTCTTGTCACCTTTATCAAAAATGAGCTCACTGTAGAAGTATGAATTTGTCTCTGAGTTACCTATTTTGTTCCACTGATCTTTGTGTCTGTTTATATGCCAGTACCCTGTCGCTTTGGTTACGATAGCTCTGTAGTAGAATTTGAAGTCAGGTAATGTGATTCTTCCAGTTTTGTTCTTTTTGCTCAGGATTGCTTTGGCTATTCTGGGTCCTTTATGGTTCTGTGTAACTTTTACGATTGTTTTTTCTATTACTATGAAGAATGTTATTGGTATTTTAATAGAGATTGCATTGACTCTGTAGATTGCTTTGAGTAGTACGGACATTTTAACAGTATTGATTCTTTGAATTCATGAACATGGAATATCTTTCTATTTTTGTGTGTGTCCTCTTCAGTTTCTTTCACCAATGTCTTATAGTTTTCATTGTAGAGATCTTTCAATTCTCTGATTAAGTTGATTTCTAGGTATTTAATTTTATTTGTAACTTTTGTAAATGGAATTACCTTATTGATTTCTTTTTCAGATTGTTTGCTGTTGATGTATAGAAATACTACTGATTTCATATGTTGATTTTGTATCCTGCAACTTTACTAAATTTGTTTATCAGTTCTAATAAGTGTTTTTGGTGGAGTCTTTAGGATTTTCCAAATATAAGATCATTATCATTTGCAAACAAGGATAATTTGACTTATTCCTTTCCAATTTGGATGCCCTTTATTTCTTTCTCCTTTCTAATTGCTCTAGCTCGTACTTCCAGTACTATTTGAACAACAGTGAAGAAAGTGGGCATCCTTGTCGTATTTCTGGTCTTGGAGGAAAGGCTTTCAGTTTTTCCTCATTCAGTATGATACTAGCTATGGTTCTGTCATACAGAACTTCTATTATGTTGAGGTATGTTTCTTCTACACCCAGTTTTTTAGAGGTTTTATCAGGAAGGGATGTTGGATTTTTGTCAAACGTTTTTTCAGCATCACTCGAATTGATCATATGGTTTTTGTCCTTCTGTTGATATGATGTATCACATTCAGTGACTTGTATACATTGATCCATGCTTGCATCCCAGGGATAAGTCCCACTTTGTCCTGATGAATGATGTTTTAAAAATATTGTTGAATTCTGTCTATTTCTTCTAGGTTTTATTTACTGCCAGGTAGTCGCTTATAGTGGCCTCTAATGAGTCTTTGCATTTCTGTGTTACTAGTTGTAATTCTTCTTTTTCATTTCTGATTTTACTTCTTTGGGTCCTCTGTCTTTTTTTCTTGGTCTTGCTTAAAGTTTGTCCATTTGTTTATCTTTTCAGAAAGTCAACTTTTCATTTCTTTGATCTTTTGTATTTTTTATTTCAATTTTACTTATTTCTGCTCTGATAGTTATTATTTCTATTCTAACTTTAGGTTTGGTTTGCTCTAGCTTCTTTAAGGTGCAATACTAGGTTGTTTATGTGAATATTTTCTTTTGATGTAAGCACTTAATTGCTCTAAACTTCCCTCTTTTTTTTTTTTTTTTTTTTTTTTTTT